GACACCTATTCAATTTTCCCAAGTCCGACCTTTTTTTTGGGCTGTTGTGTTTGCTGATGCACATGAGCATGCGTTTTGACATTTGCTACAACCGTTATGTTAAGAAATTGTTTCTTTTGTGGCAACTTCCTCTACACTCAAAGGCACTATCAGATATCTTAATCTTTCAGCTTATCCGACCTTCGGACATATATATACATATGTACATAAGAACTTCTTCTATGTCAAGTCTAGGCAAAGTAATATACACAAATCCAGTCGTTTTAAAGCTTTTGACGAGAAGATTGCAGAGATTCTGACGCGCGGAGTTGAATCAGAGCTCGCTGCAATAGCGAAATGTTCGACTTGTATAGCACTGAGTCGTCTAGATACAAGATGACCTCGACTAACTTTCCATATAAAATTGTCGTGGCTCAGAGGGGCAATTAAGCCCACTCTGGTTCTCCATCTTGCTGAAGGGCCTCCCCGGTCAAATGGAGACACCCAGTCAAAATCATTCCTCATCAGAAATTTCCCCATTGAAAGCCCGTGATATTGACCAATATTTGCCTGTTTCATAGTATTATTCGGCGATTCGTGGAAAGGATGTTATTGGGATGTTCCTATTTTGTTGCATTTTGTTATTGCCCACTTTGCGGCTTCCCCGTTTGCTCAGCGGCATCACCCCTTGTATTGCCATCGATTATACGGTGGATCCAGCGGTGCCTTTGCGGTCCGCCTATATTTTGGCCTGACACCATTACTCACGTTAACGAAATTATTTGCTTGAATAGTTTTGTATTTTCTAGTGATCAGAAAGATTACTTGGCAACTACTACCTCATCGAAGACTCGCACATGATGATACCCACTTAATTATCATTGAGAAATCACAAACGTTAGAACATGGTAATAAAGGTACTTTCAACCCGTAGCAGTTCTGTAGTTTGCGTCATTCTGAACATGAGGCTAATCGTTTGCTGTTTGTCGTTTAGCGCATGCGGTGGTTCGTTCATCCATGGATGCGGGCAGGCTGCACACAGTAAAAAACGTCGTAGAAAAGTATTTTCTTTGCCGTCAAACAGCTTTCCTTGACTGTAAATCATATTCAAGCGCCTACTTAAGATTGGCGCAGTGATTGACCGAACGCTTCAGGACGAAGGGAACTATAGGGTAACAATGATCTCCGAACATGTGACAAAGCCTGTGAAACTCAAACAAAAAAGAAGTAAAAAAGATTTCACTTTATTGGGTATTTTACTTAGTAAACGATAGCTAGAGCTCTATATCATATCATTAAGGAAAATATCTGAAAGTGAGGACTCGCTGAGGAATATATACAGCAACTGTTTCCAACTTGCGGTGATTTCAATCGAACTTATGTGCTTAGATTACCAAACAGAGATTTTATTACATAGACCTCACAGTGATTTCATGACTTTTTTCTATTGCGTAAGATCGAAACGCCGATCTCGGTTTTGATCTCTTCCTTTTTAATATTCTTCTATAATACCTAACAGGCTCAGTATTGGTCAATCCAATTCTGTTTATTTCAATAATGTTGCATAATTAGTTTTTGCTCTTCCTCAGGATTTTTCGACTTAAGTAAAAGTCCTGCTGCATTTCTTCGTAAGCGACTGTGTCTGGTGTTTACGAAACCTATAGTGCAATTTTATAAGAAAAGGGATACATAAACTGTAGCGTCCTTATTTTGACCTTGTCAGTAATTGGTGCATTAATTAAAGAGAATAGATTGCTTTTAAAAACGAATTAGCTGTGCAAAAACTGGTAAAGGCCGTCTCTCTTTAGCCACTAGCACAGGTTCCCTTCTAAGACCGAAATGAGCTGCTTTTATTGCAGTAGATAATTAAAGAAATGTACTTCTAGTACGAGTCTAGAATATGATTTTATAATATGATTGCGGGCGTTTATGTACATTTTCTGCCTGTTTGATTCAAACCCTCTCACATATACTTATAAACCCGACAAATAGACTATTAATCAGAGAAACAATATCTGTATAGAACGAGCTATTGGGCACAGGGAGTTTTCTAAACCATGCGGGTCTTTTCTGCAAGTTTAGCTAATCTGCACGGTGTTCTATATTCCTGTACTCAGCTGCAGCCAAATGCTAGCGATCTCAGTCAAAGGATACAAAGCGAAACAACAGAGATGCTCGATGTTTGATACGATCACTGAAATAGGTAACATAATAATAATAATAATAAATGTATTTCGCGATCGAATCATTAAAATGGTGTCCCAACAGCGCTATAGAAATATTAAACGACTTACGCAAGTCCAGTTTTGAAAAACAACAAAGCGTTCTGTCCTTGGTGCTCGGGTCATCACTGCTACTATCAGTACTCATTATACCACTATAGCGTTGCCGTTACTGAATTATTATTACGGAAAGAATCCGACTTTCGGTAAGGGCAGATAGCTGGGACGATCAATAAATGACTCACACATCAAACGCACAATGAGGCATATAATGTAGGCCTTTCGCAGAGGTATATCCAGGAGCTCAGATTTCCCTCTTTGTTCGCCACCTGGTTAACTATCTGGGACATACATGTTTCGACCCCCCCCCCCGACGTCACCATTTTTTTAAAGCGTTTGATTTTACCGCAGTCGCCATTTCGCTAATTAGTGTACATTGATAAAGTTGACTCTCGGAACCTTGCGTTTGCATTTCTAAATTAAAGTCTAATTTATGGTTCTCTGCATCTTGTGCGCTGTATAGCGATGCCGGAATGACGAGGACAACATTCAATAGCATTGCAAAATCCATGGCGAAACTGAACGTTGGGGAACTATTGTGTCTTCAAGGCATTGTACAGCAACTTCAGAGCGAATTTCAGACAGATAACATGTCGATGATACTTGAGCTGCTGCTATTGATGTCTCGACCGCCCCTACAGCCAACAGCGTCTAAATGCTCGTCAGCTGAGTAGATCATGTAAATCTGCGCTTCAGCCATAAGTTTGGGACGACGACCAGTTCGTTCTGAAGTGTTGCAAATAGTGTGATCACCATAGGTTACAACGAGCACTTACAGAATGGCGGTACAGGCATTAATGTGATGTACCGATTCTAGAATAAAACTAGTACGAAAACCGATATCTAGGGATAGACTTATTTGAACGGGTGTCAGTCAAAAGGCACCAAATACGCTGATGGTGTTGTAAATGGAAAATGCCGTAAATGGAAAGGCGGTATAAGCTACACAAAAAAAACAAGCGCATAATTTTAATCCTACCATGGGCTCTTTGAAAATGCCCCATGCACGTATGTTCTTAGGGCATTTGAACGCAAAATTGACAAGCCAGGGCTAATACCTGCTAAGAAACTTGTCATCGCTGTGACACGAAATACATCTCATGACTTTTCCAAATACGACTATGACTTCTGCCATTCATGCCAACTTGTAATCACAAAAGAAGCGACTAAAATGAAAGCTGAAATTGTTACCATACATCCGTCAATAATTGACAACTTAGGATATTACCACGGACAAACAGTTCAGCGTATAAACAGGTGATGTATATGTATATAACTCGTTTACATGGGACGTGTAGCAGACCTGATTACAAAACCCAGGTACTTAACTCCTGGAACCTTCCGGAGCAGACTATGCAGCCGTATTCAAACGTTATGCCTAATGTTTTCTGAAGTGCTGACTTTCAAGACTTACTAGTGTTGACGAGCATCTGGCCTATTTCTCGCAAGCATAGTTGAACCTTAAGATAAGCCCTAAAAGTGCCGCACTTCTGTCCAAATAAATGTTTCAAATTCATTATCCGGTGCTATCGCTAAAGCATTGCTTTAAGATGTGGCCCTATTGTGTAAACTTTGTAGCGTTCAACTTGACAGCGCAGTAGCTCTCCGATAGCATAGTGTGTTTCGTAATATATTTCACCCTTATAATAAATATTGCGCTGGCCGTTCTAACGTTCTCATGCGTTGTATATGTTGCAGAAAAATAGAAAGGGCGCTCGAGGCCCGGATAGTCTGTTTAATTTGTCAGTCAATATACAAAATTAAGATGGCATAGAGAAAACGCAAAACATAAAAATAGCATGTCCAAAAATAGGAGGACGTGCTTTCAAGATGGCCGCCCAGACTACGTACAAATGAAGAAAGCTGAATGACATCCTGGACCTATATTTGCGATCGGTTTACAGTGTCTTTCCCTACACACATTTAATTTGCGAACCTTCTACTAATCGTCCTGGCCACCTGCCTCGGTCGATTGCTCGAAACGTCACACGCTATAGTTCACCATTATAGAGAAACGAAAATTAAATAATGATAGCGCAGTGTTTGTATGCTCCTAGTTTAAGCAGAGGGGATTATCGTTACGGTCATTAAACTACCAAAAATAAGACGATTATTTGCCTTCGAAAACTAGAAGGGTTTAACAACTCCACACTCTGTACGTAGAGTCTTAATGATTCTGTGCCCAAATATAGCGATGCTATGTTACCTTTGATGACTGGAGTTCAGTGGATTTTATGGATCGTTTATCTTGGGATGATGAGAAACACTGAGGGTATCTATCCCTGCGGGTCATAGCTGCTGACTGCGATCGCCATTCAACAGCTACAAGAAGAATTCGGGAACAGTAACAAGTTCAAATACACCAAGCAGAAAAAAGACCAGTTCCAGTCAGAAAACTTTAATCAAGAAGTCTGTTTTCCCGATTTATCGATGAATACAGGGGACAGAATTGATGTCGAGTAGGTGTCTCAAAAATGGAGTCCCAATCTAGACGGTGGGGAAGAACTATTATATGCATTTGAAATTAGGACACTCGAGTCAAGCCTCTTTTGAGTAGGCAAAAAAAATGGGTTGTATCTGTGTTCCATCCGCGGTAAAAACTGACTCGAGAGGCTCAATTAAGTTTATAATACCTCAATAAACGCGAATGACCCAGAAAAGCAGCGGTCTTAATTATCATAAGATGAGGGAGGATATTCTGAGAAATGAATCTCTAAGTGAATGTAACGCATTTTATGTCTAAAAGTTCATCGAAATGGCGAAATATAACCAGAGAAACTCGCTGCATTTTTGTACTAAATTATGTAGTACATGCATCTCCCAATAAGCCCTGTCAGCATGATCTTATAGTTGCGTAGAAGCATTGGCCTGAATGTAAATAAATAAGAACGTGTCATATCTATCCTATAGGCAGTAACTGTGGATTTTATTAGTATATAACATACCATATTGTATTATTCGACGAGCTTATGAAGTATATTCTTGAACTTTTTGCTCCATTCAGTATGTTTCGCAATTATTTCAAGGCTAACTGTATTAAATGTGAGGCAGTCCTGGCGTCCGATTCTCATCTGTAGTTCTGTTCTTTACCATCAAAGAAATGGAACAATATCGGAAGGCATTAGGGATCCAAATTTTACCTAGCTCTAAATCTATCGCAATGGCACAAATTTGTTACTACTACCGGTGTTCTAAATCACTCTATTAATTCGGCAGACATCTTCTTTTTCTTGCCTCAGTGGAGTATGGCATTAATTTTTGTAAAAACATTTTCCTTTTCTCTTTCAAAGCTTGTGATGGTCTATCATCAACTTCAGGGTTTCTTCTTAGCATCGTGGCCGCTGTTACCATCACCGCTCAACGTCCGCTATCCAAAAATATTTTAGATATGTATCAATATACAGATGGCACTCAGCTTATTAGACGCAGTCGGCGAGCACCATCTGTAATGAAAGCCACGGACGTTGCCCCCTTGAAAAAAGTCTAGAAGTTTTCTTTAACGAATTGATCAGTGCCCCAACAATGAAACCTAAGTCTTTAATTTTATCTTTGGGAACAACCCGCAAACGGTTTGTCTAATTGCCTCTCTATCGGCCAGCAACCATGGGACAGTATTTATCATTGCAGATACATGTCAGCAGAATATTGCTTGTTTTTTTTGGTTTTACACTTTGAACAGTACCTATTCAACATAATTCATACATGCACGCTTTTGATGAACAAGTAAATGTTTTTCAACATGCGTAAAGCCATACGATCTTTATTTTTAAAGTAGTCCTGTCTAATATAATCAAGTAATTGCTATCGGGTACTACTGGTTTAAGTGCTAAGAACTCATCTACCATTCTCGGAGGAGTAGAAGCACCATAATAGATAAGTGTGATTAGTACTTGGAAGACACAGGCCATCTTATTAATGCATGACAGTGTTTAGTCCTGTTTGGCTTGCGGGACACAGTCGTCTATCATCGTCGTTACATAATCTCTAGTCTAAATTGTCGCACTGATGGGCCTAACGACGATACTGGACATTAACCTTGAAACATTTACGCTAAGAGCGTCTTTGTGTCTGCCAGTCCCTGATGATTCCCGCATCGAATCAAGCATCCGCTAAGAGGGAGTAATGGTCAACCATTAAAGAAATGCATCATTTAAGTGTTTGTACACGTCTGCACTTTGATTCTGTTTATACTATTTTTTTTTGTAATAGACACCCACTGATCTGCTCACCCTCCCTCCTAGCCTCTTACTACCCGCATTGTTAGTCTTACCATAACAATAATAACGGGAAAGCAACTTTGATGTCTATTTTACAACGCACGAGTGAAACGAAACTGGGTTAGGGGTTCAGCAGAACATACATAACTATAATTCCAGTTGTTAAGATATAACAGGCAATAATACATGCAAGTGCTTCGTTCTAAAATGGACGCCAATCCAGCGATTATGATAAACCTACGAAAATATCTGCTAGAAGAAATCAGAAACGTCAGGAGAAGCTATATAATTGGCCATGACGACCAATCTTGATACTGCAGTTATTTCTAAAAATGCTGATACTTTCTTTTTTCATATAGTTAAGTTATAACGTTTATTGGTTAGGGCTTGCCTGCATCATATTACAGATGAAACAGTGACTATACTGAAGTGTAGATGGTAAACGACTAGCTTTAGACTAATAGCGATTAAAAATGATGGCTTCAAACATTCGGTACGCAGCAACCATATACGCTCCGAGCCTTTTCGGATTCTTCTAAGCATCTAGAAGACACAGCTTGGCTTTTCTTATGTCAGCGAAGTCATAGCCATTCGAAATACACCGAGCCATAATAGGATATATGTTTACCTTGCCAAGTCTTCAACTGCTCAAAGCTATAAAAGCAAGGCAGATATGATTATTTGTGGACACTTGGACTTACCACAAATGCGCTTCATTGCGTGGTTGAACCTAGCCCTGCAACAAGGCCTAACGGCAGCACCGTGCATAATACATAAAACATTCCCATAGGTATTTGTACACTAATTCGTTTTTGAGTGCTGAAAATAATGTGATTATCGTGAAAATATCAGGCCAACGCATAGGCTATTTGCAGAGATACTGCCTGATTCACTACATACTGATGACCTGATACAAAAGCTGATGTGACTGGAAAGACGACCGAAGGAGTACAGGCAAAACGCAGACAGGCAATAGCAAAACTCTGTCGGGAGATGCAATTTTGAGCTGTTTTTTGGTACCAGCGATATCTTGAAGCAGGTATTGGTCGACGGTATGGCGGATTCACTGGCAGGGAGATCCAATCTATGCTGCAGGTAGAAACGCAATATAAGCTATAAAAGAATTCGCCTATAAAGGTGTCCGCGTTATGTGAATTTTTTTCGCATTGATTTACTCCAACGCCATCTGTGAAGACAACAGTGAAGGATCAAGGCTGACTGTAGATAAGCTAATCATTGGCGATACCAGCCGGTGTATATTGGAATTCGTTCGTATAAGAAATCCAGTATAAGATTGAAATAAATTTGGCTTCGCGAAGCGTGTGGGAACAAGCGAATAGTTGGGTCTATCATCTGAGTTTACGGCTGTCATTATAGGAAAGGAGGGGACGCTTCCTCTATAAAATCCATCAATAATGCACAACTACCGATTATTCTAAATAGTAGCTCATTCGATTAGAATATAGGTGATTTATAGATGAATATTGGCCTGCAGTCGATCCCGAATCGGTACATTAGCTGCTCATTTATCGGCGTAGTTGCACACAATCACGCTATAGTGAATTTTGCGATCCTGCTGCGGTGACGATCTGTCATGTTTTATCTCATCCAATAAAATATAGCCGCAGCGCTATACGCTAATCTTGCGTGTGCCGCCTTCGTCCACTTTAAAATCTTGACAATGTCATCTTACGTCCACCGAGAGCAGACAGGAATAACAGCGTTGGGATAAGAACTTTACGTTTCCTAATCACAGACAAAGTGTATCATAATGAGCAACGTCCAAACGGTAAACTGCCAGTGTGGGGGCAAGTTACGGCGTTTGCCATATGATGATTTTCAAAACCGGATTACCCGATTGCTTCGCCCGTTCTCTAAGTTACACGAATTAAGATCATTTTGAACAAAATACAACTAGTGGTCGTGCTGACTATAATCATGACTAATTGGTAAAACGTGACGATAAGACCAGGAAATGTGTGATCTTAGTTAAGCGGTTACCGCAGTTCCTTATCAGTGTTACCTCATGAGGTTCGAAGCAGGAGCTTGATCGTCTCTGTCATCTAGTTGGGTACATGCCTTAGAATTTGCTTAGTCCTTCCAACACGTACACACATGGAGTTGAAACGCTAAACGTCAAGTGTTAAACGAATAGATCGCCAGTTAGCCAACGTGAGCAATCGCTAATGATGAACCTGCGGTTTCCAGCGGCAACATCGGCTTCGATTGCGATGTGTTTGGTACTATAGGCAATCTGGATTATTCGAGCAGTTCCACAAATTATTTGCGAAACGAAGCGCCACGCTGAAAGTACAAAATGTCTACTTCAACGGCTAACTCTATATCATGGATTCACGTTTTTTTATATGCACGAACGCGTCTAGCCAATAAAAAAAAACTCACCTCATACTTCAGGTAATCTAACTTCCCGCAATAAACTACGGAAATAACAAATGGCCATAACACATGTTGTCCTAAGAACGACACCGCTACGCCATCTGTAGAGCTAGCTACTGCGTGTAGAAATTTCGAAAAAATCTATTCGTTATTGCTGTTAAGCCAAGCGCAGATAGCCAGACAGTGAACGATGCGAGATTAAAATCCTTCATGAGCCTAATGTATAAAAACTAATGTTGTTATTATTCGGGAGATTGACCAAGCGTCAGGCCTTTCATCGCATCGGTTACTCCCTGAACCTTCTAATCATTCTTTAGACATTAAGCCGGCATAGTAGATTTTCGGCCGCACAGCTAACGGCCGTATGTTCTAGTTATACGGTAAAAGTCCGCTTTACGACCCAAGCGCGCCGTTCTCCATATCACGCGCAATTTGACTGCGGAACTGAGACATTTGCTTTTGTTCAAATCTCATTTCTTTTCTCAGCACGATGCATTCGGCATACTTGCAAACAAATACGCCACAATCATAACTGTTTTGCTGTTGCGGGATATCTCGGATAAAGTGAACTGAGCAGGTGCGGTATTCCATATTTTGTGTTTCCATTTGTTCCGACAAATAGTCTCTAATCGTATTGACTTTTTTTACACTGTCAGTATGGGCAGTTTCGTTTTTTTGATTCCATAACGGATCGTAGTATTCAATAGTCCAGGTTCCTGTATGAACGACGGCCAAACACCAATGAACGCCATTTTCATTAACAGGGAACAGCAGAAGGTCGTATTTTTGAAGGTCGTCAATTGCGCCCTTGACGACATCGTAATGGTAGTTTTCGTAGCTGTAAAGAAAGCTGGAACTGAACGCGTACGCCTTCGGCAGCTGTTGATTCGATAGTCGGTCGTCATTTGCACGCCCGATAACAAGTTGCAAGTAAAGGTCGATCGCGTAATCGTGCAGCTGCTCGTCTGGTATCGTAAGGGAGCGTAAATCACCTTCGTTAAAGTTCAGCCTAAACTTTTTTGCAGTTTTTTCTATTTTGTTAATATCAAACCGCTGTTGCAGCGAGACCAAAGCACATCCATGATCGCTGCAGCCTTTACCGCTTCCAGCTGTTTCTGAAATGTTCAATTGCTCTAAGTCGTTCAGTACTTCGGATTCTACATCTGCATCGGAGTCATTCGTTAGTCTCAGACTCTTCATTGGTTTAGATTTTTCCCACTTTTTCCACACTTTGATCCCGTCTCGGCAAGTTCAGTTTTTGCATCTGTCTGATTACCTGAGGCTTGTCAACAATGAACGGACGATAAGCCACTTCGTCGCACTATATGCTTAAATAATGCCTGTTGACGCTAGCAAACAGTTGGCAGTTAAGCAGAATAGTCTTAAACAATCCTGAACGGGAGAGAAACGTTTCAAGCAAACGTTAACGAAAAGGTAAACCTGATTCGAGCGCAGAGCTAGATTAAGGTGCAACCGTTAAAGGCTAGGTCGCTACAGTAAGCATTACCTATTTTCCAAGTCAAAAAATACTTCGATGGAACAACGATAAGCCAAACAACCAATGTGATGACAGAAGAATTGGTCCGATTTACCGGTCTGATAAATGGCAGTTAGATCGCATGCAATAATCGCTATCCAATATTTCAGGATATATGGATAAGGCGGAGGCAACTTAGCGGAGATTAACTAAGCTGTACGCCGATGCCAAGCAGAAGGCATTTTCAAACAATACGAAAACTCTTTCAGACACTTGTTGGGTGACCTTGCGCTAATCAGAAAATATTCGGAATTAATTATTCACGTACACGTTTTGGCTTATTTGCATTGATTAAGCGTTCGAGCACAGCTTCGAAAGGTTTCGAACTTCATACGATTGTATGCAGACGATTTTTTCGCAGAACAAGGGATCCTTCTTCGAGATATGATCTTTAAATAACTAGAGTATGCAACTAAGTTGTGCGAGTCGTTATGCATGCTTCTACAAAAGTGAGCTGGCTACAAAAAGCGTGGTGTAGATTGAATTCTGTGTTTTTTTTTCATCTGAGCGTCTTGTTCCTTATCTGTGGCACCTGTGTCTGTTGAGTGACGGTTTTAGAGTGTTCTAGCTAACACGAATGTTATAATAAGACACGTCCTTGAAACAACGTTTCGGTAGGGTTGTAGAGGATATCAGAAAGGGTCTCACTGTACTGATTTAGATTTTCTCCTACAAACCTTTGAAACGGCAGCATCTGGGTTTGAACCCGTTCATAAACACACGATTGGTTTGGTGCTGGCAGCCAGCCATCCATCTGATCGAATGCCTGACGGCGATACCAAAACGTAAAGGTCGAAACAGAGCTTAAGTAACCACGACATACTTGCCTTTATAATATGTCGTTAAACCAATCTCTGTATTTTTTTATTAATGCTATTTTACGTATATTCGAGTTGTGTTAGTACAACTCTACCCTACCCAATATTATCGAAACAGATCTTTCTTCCTTTCTTTTTTCACATTTTCTACATTTTTTGCAAAGAATTACTTAGATACGTGCATAAAATACTCAATTTTAGGTTATTTACAATGATGTAGTTTTTTCTTTGCAAAATCTCTAATATTTATCGAAATAATACTCTTGCCACTGTTTTTACGAGAAATGTCACCCATAGGTGCTACTATGGGTCATTGAAAGCTGAACCTTTCAAGCAGCTTTCTTCATTGAACTTGGTATTTTCTGCATATCAAAAAATACTGCCTAGAAAATATTCTTCTTTTTTCCTAACCAATATAGTTGGAGCAAGTATGTCCTTCTGTCTTGCAGGACTATCTAGGTAGGATACCATATCGAAGGTTAAACGCGTTTGAAATACGTTATCTAATCAGCTTTGAGCTACCAGTGAAGTTAACGAACTCACGATATGACTGTTTCTCTTCATGCCTCCGTGGGGAAAGGTTCTTACGCGACCCGTTTTTCTCTAATACAGGTTTTGAAATAGAAGATCTCTAACTTTCTGAAGTTTTGTCTATATTAGTAAATGCCCAGTTGTCTACTTGGCGTATATGTTGTTCAATCACGTCATAATAGTCGTACGAGTGATGATCTGTCAATTCAGTTTGTACCTGCCTATCTAACCGAGGTCGCATACTGCGTATTTCGTACGTTATAATATGTATTGCCTCTGCAAATTGTTCTTCCTCGGCAAATTCTGAATGGAAATATCTATCAAGTGTCTCAATAAAGTTCTTTCCTCTACCTTTCTCTAAGTTGATGGAGCAGTTGCACGCTAACAAGATCAATCTTTCTCATTGTAACGTCCGAATCTGGTTGTTGAAGGCACAGTTATTATTTCTATAATATTCACAAACGTCTCAGGTTTTTAAATTGATTCCTACACGAATATCGTCACTGAATTGTGCACGCGTTTGAATGGCAAGTGCTATGAAGTACTATCTAATAAATAAAGTTGAGCCATTACTATTCTAGAATCTTTGTTAGAAATGGCATTCTAAACATTATATTACCGTACTGGCCGAATACTGTTTATATTGGGACGAGCTTTGAATACTTCAATATTCAGACACTCAATACGCCAATGTTACTGTGATTCCCATGCACATATATGGGTCAGGAGCTGGGCAAGGAAACAATTCAAAACGTTGTCGTGTGTCCTCTGACGTGCCTGAGTACGAATCTGAAACAACCAGTAAGCGTCGTCTCATACGTGGTGCTACCTGTTATGCGTGCTCAATTTTTAGTGGCGCCTCATCCTGCGCCCGCATGTTACCTAGCATATTGATATCGCTCTCGGTTTGACCGTTTGTTCCAAAAGCCTTTACCCAGAAACAATATTTGCAGCGTACTACTCTACACCTGTCTGGAGTGTGAAGAATAGTGTGTGTACGTAAGTACAACGCGCTTTGTTATTGACGCCGGTATTTGTACCTGCCTGTTCGTTACATCGTTTACAAAGGGCGCGCCTTTTTCAAGGTCTAATGAAGCGGGCGCAATTTAGGCAACGATCTTTCTCCACGTGCCATCAGTTACTAATGCAAGTGAGATCGTTCGTCTTTTACTGAGTCTGAGCTCGGACACGCTAAACATATAAACATGATATCGCTAACAGCTTTGACTTCTCCTAATCTTCTGTAGCTTTACTGTAAAACAGCGTATGTCCAGTTAAAACTGAATCGGAATCTACTGCTGAAAAATCCGTTGTGTTAGTTTTCCAATCTCGTCGAAAATCGAGGTGCACCTTTACGTGATGCCTTTGCACGCACATTATTTGATAGATACGCGGATAAGACGCGACTCAGGTCGATCGAATCTTGTTTTTAGCAGTTTACTGCAGTTCCTTTCTCATACGTTCGTCGTAACGAACTTCACAAGTGAAGCCCATTGCCGCTTCGGGGTGCCGATGAGGTGCTGAAAGACATTCTTCACATTGAACATTATTTCATCGTCGTCGATAGCATTTAAACAAATATTATTTCGTATTATTTAGAAGTAGAGGTTTGTTTAGTGAGGCTGTTGGCGAAACGTCGTTGTACTAAAACGATTTTGCCAACCAATTTGCTGATTAAACCCTAATACCAAAACGAGCTCGACCTCAATTGTAGTTCTCCGAAAAAGTTCAGATTAGTCTTTAACGAGATGCATGCTGCTTTATATATTTTTTTTTTATATATTTTATATATTGACAAAATATTTCTTGTCAATCTGATCAATTTTCGGCAGTACCGGCAAGTTTGGGTTTCTGCGCCTGGGGTCCCCGTTATTTGCACTGCACAGCTACTACTGTGGTGCAGACGTAGACCCTAATGCCTACCAGTTTTCTTTACTGCGTCACTCGATGCTTAACAATATTCTGGCTGGATCACTCCGTAGTCCTTAGACCCTGCACGCAAGAGCTTTCTGGGTTGCATTAAGATGATATCCTTAAACAGTTGATTTAGTACGGCCCAAATGACGCACCCATTAAGTAAAAATCTGGCTTGGTCGTTCACATGTGCTTCGATCCTATATGAATTTCAGTGCCAGCGAGTATAATGAGAAAGTACAAATATTGATTCATCTTGACGTCTGTTTAATCGATATCACTGGGAGTAAGTCATGCATTTTTTTATAAGTAGATATAAAAAAACGACGCCGGTCAATAATTTATTCAAATTTTGAGTCGTACATAGGTCGAACCTGTACCACGCCGCCCACATTGCTAGATTTTGACAGATTTCTAATAGATACAAATCGCCAGTGTTTGTGATTACGGCTACGCCTGCTTACGCTCACACCTAACAGAATGCAGACGCGTACATTACACAGATCAGCTTGAACGCATTTTTTCTCTAGAGCGTCGACGAGCAGCCAATCCGCGGCTTGGACGTGCCTTCGATCTGTACCATCGCGCTCCTGTGCCACTTAATGTATAACCCGCGGTACTCATAGTTTCCGCTATTTTGCGACGTAGAGTTGGCATGTTGACTTGATAGAAATTCATCGGAGTACGGTTTACAAGGTTCTCGGCATACATACAGGTAAAGATTCCACAGTCTAAGCTACTTGACTGTTGAGGTATATCCGTTAGTATTCGGGTTTCTAGATCCTGACGTCCGGCAAATGTCTTAATATACTCCAGTATTCGGGCGAGTTTCTTATTGATCTCGGTTCTTCGATCTTCTATTGTGCCTAACCAAGAATCGTAATACTCTAATACTCCGTCCTCCAAATTGGCAGCAGCTAAACCCCAGTGATAACCAACTCCCATATGGTTTTGTGTTCGCTCGTTGGCGTCACCAAATATTACGGGAAATAGCAACAGTTTATGGTCGCTGGGGGTCTTGTTGTAATGCACCATTGTTTCCATGCTCAGCGTTTGGTCCCCAACTAAAGAACGCGCCGGGAAGGCGAATGCCCCAAGATCGCGATTTCGAGTGATATATTGCATGTAGACGTCAATTACGTTATCGCTTACCATCTCTGTGCCCAAGAGATCTTTTAGGTCTACCTCACGAAATTCATGTATGTTAACAGATCGTGCTAGTCTTTGAATGTTCTTAACCATAGATTGAAAATGCTTGTCTGGCAGTGCTAATTGTGATTGGATTTCCTCTGTGGGCGTCGACGGGCCTGCTGGGAACTCCGACGTTGACATCACTGCCAACGGTGTACCATAGTCATTCGGTGAGCGTGGGATTACACCTTCAGTAGTTCTGATACCGATATGGGTTACCAGATATGGAAATTGTGAGCTGTAAGGGCTGGATGGCGGCAGAGTCATACCGGAACTATTCGACGACCACGTCGGAGTAAAGAAGTGCGATACCGTACCTCTCGCAGGCCGCCATATCCCTCTATGTTGTTGTTTCCACGCTGATGGTGAAACGCAGCCGCTAGATGACGGTGGGCCCATTGAATCGGTGTTAATATTAATAGAAACACTTATCTGATGGCTGGCCGTGGAGCTGACTGATGACCGTTGCATAACTGGAGGTTGCAGTACGTTGAGTAATGGCTCCCCGAATGGTCGCCGAACCGGATTGCCGTCAGGTGATTTAGATGAGCCACTACTAGTCATTACGCGTTCCGCTCTTAATGCGCTGAAATTTAGAAAATGGTGTTCAACGTACGTATGCAACTAACAGAATGCAACAAGTTAATCTTGGACAACAAATCCATCAGTCAATTATTGACTGTTCCACATTGGGACCTGGACTGCTTCGTTCGTATCCTGTAACGGTTTTCTATCGTATATTCACGACGTCCAACAGGGCGTTCGTATACATTCGGAATCTAATTTCCAGTAGATGCCGAAGCGAGACGATGCTTTGTACCTGTATTCCTTCATTAAATGGTGCAAAGAAGAAACCATAGTGCAATAACTATATTGCATACCGACAGATGACTGATTTCAAACGTACTAGCCTATGTATGAGAAGTACTATTTAGGTGGATCTGGGACCTGATAGTGTAAAGAAGATCAAAGAGCAGAAGATATTTTCCTACGAGGCAAACAAGTCTGCAAGTATTAGTATAGCACAGATTTTTGCCCTTAAATGAGCGGATTCAGTTTGGCTGGTGCAATGGAACACCCAAAAAATTGTACGATGGCACAATTGCCGCAACACCTCTGCGTATCGGCGCGGAACTTTGGACTGAGCTACGAACTAGTGAGAATTATACGACAACAGATGATGCCTGCGATAATCGCCGGGCCCATGTACGAAAAACAAACACTAGCCATACACGGAGCTAAGGGTAAGCCAAATGTCTCGCTCATAGCATGAGCTAACGGAGTTTGTACGGAGAACGGAGCACGGTAAGTTGGAGATTTGTTACTAATAGCGAAATACACGCCTAGTATCTGTTTGCTACATAGTAAGTTCAGCCGGTGGCAATACACGAATCCCGATGCCAGGTTTAAAAATAGCAAATAGTAGTTTATAATGCCGAAGCAAACCACCGTGTGAACAAATGCATATTTTTACAATACGATTGAAAAGGATGAACGACCTGAAACACGCGTGCCAGTAGCTCGTCTTCCTAGCACACAATAGCGGCATGACTTAACCTGTCCTGAAGAATGGACGATTGATATTGAACACTTTTCACAAAACTAGGTAGACATCCACCTTGAAGAAAAACTTATATACCCACACTCTATATATTCGACAGATAAATAAAAGACTCGAGTCTTCTATTTCATACGGTATAGTCTCGAATGTACTCACGAATTCGGTCTATATCATATTTCGACGTAGATTTTCACTGACGGCAAGATTACTCACATTCGAAAAATGAAGAGTTACAATAGATCTTCCCTCTCGGTATGTGTGTTGTAAGGGGGCATGAGCTCCCTCTTTTGCGAGCCGGATATTATTGCAAGGCATTCAGCGACTGATAGTCCGCTTGTTAACCAGGATTGCGATTTTTACGTTTAAGAACGACTCGAACACATTGTACACCATTCGAACTTACCCTATTTTAAGGGAGTGAGAAAAAATAATTCCGAAGCTTAGCAAGACCAAGCGCACCTGTCCCTAGAAATGTATAGCTCGTAACTTTCTAAGTTTCTAACTAAGTTTCTTTGGACTATTTGTAATATCGTGTTCTATACTGCTCCTTAAAATAAATCGACACCAGGAACCAGTTGGTGGGCAGAAAACAAAAGGCCTTGTCAAATAACGAAGCCTGCGGGGATTCCCGCGTAGTATACAAGATAACATTGTAGCAGCGGGTTGGCATCAGCGGACACCAAGCTATTGTCGCGTTAATCGTACAGAGCGATCATCATTGATCTCTGATGGAAAACACCGCTAAAAATCTTGAACGTGTATAATGTTTTTCAGGACACTCATTTCTCACACTATTTCTCGCTGAATTTTTCCGCGCAACTTTACGACGAGTGTAGTATTTATCTTACGAGTTTTCCAAACTATTCGGCGAAGTTTTTCAGGGTTTCTTATGTGCAGCTTCGAAATATGTTCGTCAGTTGTCGATGTATAGAAGAACGGCATCTGTAACGTTCAGAGATGGTGAGCAGGCGTCTATCTGAAAATTTCGTGTGCATCGTAACGGTCGATCAACGCGATCAGTCGCTTTCAACGTCCGTTATTTTCCGTAGATCGTTATAGATGTATTATGCCGAAGGCTTGGATCGGTGCATAATTCGCACGTTCGTGAAACGAAGGTCGTCCAGGCGCGAAAAATCAAGCGAAGAAATCAGTTGTCAATCTTAGAGGATTCTTAGCGTTCACAGTCAATTAAAAGATTAAGAATCTATTACGAAGCTTAAGAGCTACTTGTACGGTTACCCTGCCATTTCATAAATCTTTTTTTTTTGGAGGTTAAGGGCAGGACATGACTACTCTTTGTCCGGTATTGTGGGACTCTCAACCACTAAACCCTGGACCCCTTTATCAGCTTGGGCCATGGTTCGGTATATGTTTGATATTACCTCGAAACCATGACTTGCAGGAACGGTCATTTCATCTTCTTTCCCTTTGAGCCGTTTCAGTCCATCCTCCATTTTGGCCTTCCTCTTGACCGTAAACTCTAGATCTCGAGGTAGACCGTTCTCCCTGTACCTCCACTAGTTCCAGTTGTTGTGCATTGGGCCCACGATTTCATTTTTTTTCATTTCATAAATCTGCCCAGCTACGTCCTGCTCGACTTATTATATTAATAAATTACTAAATTATTAAATTTTCATTATTAGGAATTTAAGTAGTAAGCTGAAGTTAACTCCAGAGGAATTATAGGAAGAGTCTTCCTATTGTCCCTGTATTTTATCACAAAAAGCGTTGTGACTATTACATTAGGCTATAGTTTCTTCAATAGACTGCTTTAAACGTAGACAAAATTCTTTATATTACTACAGGGGCATCAATTTGAAACGTTTAAAACATGTAAATGTTGTTTTTCTTTTAAAAAAAAAGAATGGAAGAAGTTGACGAACAACTTTTCCATCCGTTCAAGACTAGGCTCGCTTCCTTCGACTCAGCAAAAGTACATGACAATTGAGTAGAAAGAGATACAGCGAATCAACGCAACCCGGTTCAGATCCTGTAGTCTTATTATAGTCACTTGAACACCTTATCCTTCTTTTCTTAGATAAACGATTTAACGAAAAACTCATTTAAACACCCTGCTTTGGACAACTGATTCGGTTGTTTCACGACAGGAAGAGCCCTAGAAACGCTCGTTTCTGTGCCGCACGACGTCTGTTGTAAATTGCATCGGCCAGGACAACATGATCCATGGCAACGGTAGAACCATTCTTCAGGCAGTTACTTTCGTTCACAAATACTCCTATTAAGTAAATAGACAATGAATGAATGCGGTGCTAATCGATCTAAAAAATAACATAATAGTTCGCTGGCTGCATTTAGATTTGCGTGTTGACTACATGAAGAATTTGTGGGTTGTTTATATCAAAACATCTAATCTCTGGAATGAGCATAATTTCAATTTTACAGCCTCAAGAAATACTCGTCACGAGAGTGACGTTCGGCGGTGCTTTTGAGTATTGCGTTTAGCACGAAACGATGCGTCTGCGTTTAGTTTCAAACCTTAATCATGTTTCGCGCTAGTCGAACATGATCGAACAAACAACACGAAATAATTCTCCGCAATAGAAGTGATACTATATAAACTCTAACTACGTTCCATGTTGCAAACGCCTCTCAATTCTTAAGTTCAAACCAGCCAGAGTACTTCCTTTGCAAAGCAGTGATATAGTCTAAACTTTCACAACTACAGATATTAAATTTTGGAAATTCAACGCAATAGTAACTGCGTAGAAAAGACACACGTTTCGATTGCTTAATTACGACTCATCATTTAGCCGCGCCTTTAGTTAGCGCTCTAGAGCAAAATTTTGTCCTCAGTTTAAATTTCAAACTTCCGTTTTTTCAAAACCGCCAGAAACGCGATTTCTTGCAACGCGCAGACACGCTAGTTTTTTTACGAGTCTGACAACAGGAATACTGATACATTCATTGGCACGTACGGGGTAGAAACCTAATTTTTAATCCCAGCGCTGGCGCGCAGCTTCCGCCCTTTGGTTATATTGCAGGTCACCCTCTCTACCCATTTCTTCTGTCGTTATCTGCTGACGTATTTCAAGCCTTCGCGCTTGACTGAATATCATTGCTTTTCCTAGCATTACGACTTTGGAATACTTGACACCGAAGATAGCAGAACAGTTCCCCGCAGTACGTGCACCACACGGTAAAGCTTTCCAAAAGTCTGTAGTGTTCATTTACATAGGCTTGAATTCTCGCAAGCTTACCATATGTGTCCATCGCAGATTTTAACACGGAGAAAGAATCTAACTATAGTTTGAGACACGGGCATTCTATAGATTCGGGTTATAGTTTTTGCGTTTCTCTTCATTCTTGTTGTTTTTAAATTGATGACCCAATGCAGATGAAAAACGCCAGTAAGTTGGTAATTCTCATCTCAGGTCGAGATATAATCTGATTTAAAACGTTAGAGGTATATTGAGCATAAGTAATGTTGAACAAACATCAATTTTTTGCTTGTTCCCTTATTAGACATACTCAGTGATGACAGAGGTGGATTTTAAATGTACCATTGCTAACCATTATAGAGGATACTCAAGATAAACAGAACTAAGGAGAACACAAAGATTGCGTGCTAATTCTCTGACATTATCGAGGTGCACTGATACTAGGCAATCCGACGTTCACCACTTGTTCGTGAACAATCGGCTTCTAGGTGTTGAGGGAAATCTTATGTTTTTCAAGGGTGAAGCTAGTGGGGTTGGATAAGACTGGCGTTTGGGAGAAATCGAGTTATACCACGAGAGGCAAAACCACTTGCTACGGAGCCGGAAACGAGTACGTGGCGCAGTAGAGTGTAGTACAAAGAGTTGATATTCACGCGTACAATAGGATTATCCCTTATTTCCTGAGCTGGTACACAGCAGTGCTGATAACTAACGTCGCTAGACCTAGTCGCATGCTCGTCTTGTGGCTGCGTCTCAGGCTATCTGTTTATGACATGATACGAGCAGCATTTTGGTAGGGCAATCTTAGAAGCAACCAAAGGCTTCGTTTGCGTCCGGATTCAGACAACAGATTGTATCAGTCATTAGAACTCGCACATACGTTCAAGGTCAATTCAAACCATATAAATTATAATTGAATATCGTTAATAATAAAAAAGATAATTGAAATCCGAATATGCTCCTGATTAGCACAATTATATCTGTTCATTTAACGAGTAAAAAGAAGCAAGTACGTGCTTCTTATAGGTTGATAGACGAACGTAACGATGGTGCTAGGTATATAGAAGGGTAGCAGGATCAACGGAACGTCAGACTGCAAACTGAAGACCCACGTGTGTCCAGACAATTTCAAGATTATATCATGTTTAGTATATAACCAAATACAACAATCATCTTTAAAGACCAGGATCGGCCTTTGCAAAGCTACCACACTCATTCACTTGGATCGGCCTTTGCAAAGCTACCACACTCATTCACTTCACTTCAGTACATATGCGCATGATAAACGCGTTCCAACATTTGATAACCGGCAGGGCTGAAAATTTACTAGGCACCATGTCGAGTTGACAGGCAAAAATAATTCAACTGGAAACCTAGTTACAAAATGTTTTACAAGCGTGACTAGATATAGTTCTTCGCTATCACTATATTTATACATAGATATATATATACCATATTTGTTGCAGCTCGAGATAACACAGTCGCTTGTTGGTTGGAAACATTGCTATGAACCTCGCCGTCGGGTAGATTAAGCTTTTTACTAATGAGCACTTTTGGGGTGCAATTTTTACTTGGTGACATCATCCGCTGAATGTTCGGAGTTTGAGAGAACAGAATTTTCCAGATAAGCGTTTCGGCGGTGACCACATCAAGAATGGTTGCAATGTTCAAATTAGGGAATTCAGGCTTATTTCCTGGACAGACGTGAGAAATTGGCAAACGCTTTAACGACACTTTGGCACGCATAATTGTACTTTCAAATAATCTAAAATAAGCAGAAGGATCATTTGGACTCAACAATGCATGGACACCACCATCAGTTTTTCATTCACCACGTAATTACTAGACAACATAGTTGAAATGGAGGGGCAAACGCGAAGGATACAAGCATGCCCACAATACAAACGGCGCGCTCTGTTCCGACGTCACATCGTTCGAGGCTTCGCTGAGAAATACGTCTCGAATGAAAGAAAACATGCGGCCAATATACCAAGAGACACCCGGAAGAACATGCAGAAATTTCGTGACTATCAGGCGCATGCCTTGATTATAGTACCTCTCAAAGGGGCTCGAGAGCTGAAACCTGTGAGGTGTTCCAGACTAAGGACCGACGGACTCGAACCTGCTACTAGAGACCATACCAAAGAGGTAATGTATGTTACTAATGAGGGTCATATCGAAGACAACAGAGTCACTGGAGGGATAGTTCAACCGTTATGTCCGCATTTACTGTATTTGTGTGTGTTTCAGTTAATATATTTTTTAATAACCATCAACGGTCAGCGGCTTTGCAGCACAGTGGCTCACAGCAAAGGTGTGAATCGTCATGTGGATTACCCTTCATTTATTTATGGGTCTTTTACCGATATCGAAAACATTGCTTTTAAACAGGACTTTAACCACAACGCAGTACTCCACTAGGCAGTACTAAGCTAGCAACTCTTTTCATTTTGAAATTTTCTAGGTGATTACGTGGTGCCCCTAATGGTCTCGCTGTTAATTGCACCCTAGCCAAATCTAGTTTGTTCTCAGATTGCTTCCTGTTGATCCAACCCAGCTGCGACAACTACTGGATAACCCTTTTGGTAAAGAGTAACTGTCTATGAAGCAACTGCTTTCATGGTAATTACTTAACTGACAAGTTACCTCCGTTGCCATAGGACTCTAAAACGACAACGGTCAATGCTTTGATTCGTATCTATTTCAAATGTTATCTTTCGTTCAAATATTAACGTGATTCCCAATCCATAACATTCATTATTCCTAGTTTAGATTGTTTCATTTCTGAACCGACATGTGCTGTAACGGCTGTGGACCAAAGCGTCCTAATGCATGTTCCACAAGCAATGTCCGCACTAAAAAAACATTGAAGCAGCTTTACTGTACGTCGTCTTTCTTCGTTGACGGCTCTTCTCTTGCACCTATACTCACTTGCTGTATTTTCTTCGTGACGCTGCTCACGGGACACTACTTTCCGAGGACACTTTTTTTCTGCGTCCATATCGGCTGCTGTTTGATGATAAGTGGCAAGCATGTTCTCTTGTTGAAAACCATTTGTCTATGAAGCACGACGCTCTCCACGTACTCAAAAACACCATAGTGATTGCAGGAATGCTGCTTCGGCATGTCATTTTTCTGTTCGATTTTAAGCTGGCAACTTTTTTTAAAAAAAAATTTTAAACGAGACTCGAATTTGAAAATGGATGTGAATCCATCCAAACTTTATATCGACCACGTCTTTTCCAGTCGATAAATATTTCGAGGTATCGAAGTATTCAAGATTAGGACAGACGACGGCCTACGTCTGGTGCTCGTCCTAGCCGGGTGCAGCTTCCTTTACCTTGTCCTAGCATAATGAGAAATTAATTCCTGTATATTTAACATTACCCTATACATTGCGCTGATGCTCTTCTAGATCCTAAGTCATCGTAAACGTTCGACAACTTCGGCTAGATTTTTTAGCTAGCATTTGTAAGAATATCAATTATATTTTTGCGAGCCATCACATCTGCATCCGATAGATGCTCTAAATCGTCTTTACGAAGCCTAACCTTCAAATGACTTGCTAAGGCTTCGGTGAGGCTGGACTAGAAGTTTTGGTTGCGGGACCGAAACGTTTCAGTTACGTGGTAACGCCGGCATGCGCGGTTGAAATGAGGACGTTAATCTTCATGTCTGCGGCGGTGGCCAGGAAATGTTTGTTTAACGTCGGTTAAAAAGTATTTCTCTCAATGGAGAATATATTGTATTTCTGTTATTCTGTCAACGGTGCAAAGATCGACGGAAATTGATCAGTCTGCAGTGATGTCATGGAGCTACTTGATATATAGCGTGTTCGCCAACGGGCTGTATCGAAACTTCGTGCAGTTTGTAATTGCTTTAAGATAGACGTACGACATTGCCGAATTGAGCGTCTGTAATAAAAACCGAAGGGATTTTTATTAACAGAGGCATTACGTTGAAAGGCTGTAGGTCGTACCGTTCAGTGCCCACGCTAATTCTGAAACGCTTCGTGCTGATTTGGCGTGTTTTAAGCTAGACTCTGCTTACGAGGAGTTTAGGTTGAATACCCGATCCGAATAATTTAACCAGAGATTAATACGGAATGCGACCATGTCGGGTATTCTAAATACGGAAAGGCTGAATGACTATTGCGGAAAAATAAATTCCTCTAGCTGTTCATTGAAGCTCACATTCAGAGAAGCGCATATATACTGAATGCTGCTGAAACGTTGTTCGTGTTAAAGGGGCCCGAAAAAAAATGGCGAGCGACAGGTTCAAGTGACTGGATACCCACTTTTATTGAGGGTCAACACTATTTGATTATGTTTACCCTGCTTGCTCTAGAATTTGATCTGTACTGATATTTACGGACGTTCAAATGAACGACATATCATCCGCTACAGGATATCAGTTTTTTAGCATTCGAGGTGACCATTGGCCGGGCCAAAAGTCCAAATCGACTATTTGTACTTGATCGACATCAGATATGCAGTGAGGGTGGTAAATGAACGTTATCCTAATGCCAAAAAAAAAATAACCACTAGGTGCAGCTTGATCGCAGGCTTCAAGCAATGTCTGAAAGGACAATGAAAAAGACTAGATAATACAGACGAATATTCGTCGGTTCTAGTGAAATCGAGACTTCGAGAACAGATCTACCCAATAGGATAAAAGCCTTCTATCAAATGCTGTACTGTAGCTCTGGCGCAATCGATACGCGTCGTAACATCTATCCGAATGTTCACCTACCAATTGCAATGATCTACGACGAGTAATAATCGAAAAACTTCATATACTATAAACTTTTCGTACTCTTCCTAAATCTCTCTCTAGTCGACCTCAAACCTTCATCGATACATTTTCATACACTGTAAATAACCGCCGAGAGCACAATAGTTGTCTTTCTATTTGTCACTCCACAAAGAAAGCTCTCACTTGGCAATAATAATATGACTGAAAATTAGAACAGGCAGAATAATGCCGGCCTACAACAACGAAGTAAATTTTAATTCTTACTCAGTTCGAATTTTGCCCGCGTCTAATTTTATCGGAATCGCGATCTGATTCCGTCGGCAGCCTCTCCACCACTGTCACCTTGATCGAGATTTTCCGATTGATACGCAGAAAAACCCGCAGTTGACTTGTGGCGGCTGTTACACGCATCGATGCACATTATATAGATGCACACACAGATCCGAGCACAAGATCAAGAGGCCAGTCAGTAATCGGCAGTTCCACTGAGCGGTTATAAACTGTCCGATTAAGGCCGCTTGGCGATCCTCTGTCATTGCGCAGCTGCTGCAGCCAATTCATTCGCCATTTCTTGGCGAATAGCTGTCATTTCGTTCTGGCTGAAATCCATGTCCATACCAAACGCAAGGCACTCGGCGTATTTACAAACAAAGATACCACAGTCGGTATCATTGCTTTGTTGTGGTACTCCTCGTTGTTCCTTTCGGATCCGAGGTACGAACTGCATATGTTCGTTGATATAGTACTGAATCCAACTCAGTTTTGTGTTGATTTCAATCTCGCGTTTCTGTGTTGTAACGCGCCATAAAGAATCGTAATAGTGTATAGATTTAGTGGCCTTTTTGAATGCGGCCAAGGCCCAGTGTTCACCATAGCCTTGTTTCTTATATACGGCTTTAACGTTTTCATATGTTTCTTTTCCATCTCTGTAGTCATCTTTTTCATTTCTCTCTCTGTACTGCTTTTCTTTTTGACGAAGTTCATCTGTCTCGTCGATTACACCTAAGACCATTGGGAACAGCAGCATATCGAAGACTTCGGGATTGCTTGATATATTATTCATTACCGATAAACTATAATCTATGTCGAAGATTAGAGTGTACGACGGGTAAACACACAGTTTCTGTTTGCGACATGTCTGCTCTGCACGCTTAACAATTAGTTTCAAGTAGAGGTCAATTAGACCATCGCTCACCATCGCTCCATCCATAAGCTCAGTTCGAGTAGGTTCATCAAGTGTACCTATCCGATAAACCGGTTTGGGTTCATGTCCTCGGGCCAGGCTCGCTACTACAGGTGTAGGTGAAGGTAGTCTCGCCCAGTAACCAGGCGCGGGTCGCTGAAGCGCAAGCGATGGCTCTGTGCGACAGGTATTGTTTGTTGTTGGCTGCACACTATCTGGCATTATTTGGAAAGTATATGGCCCTAGCTGATTAACGGTCCGCGCCGGCTGCTCGACCGCTGATCGTATATGAGGCATATGACTCAGCTGCGATGGGAGTATGGAACCGCTGTTGCCTAAATCGTACGTGTTGACAAGTGGCATTAGGAAAAGTTGAAGGGGTGGATACATAAGCCCACCCGCCCGCTCATAGTACGGAAAGGCAGCGGTGTTAGAGTAAGAGTGGGTTAGTTTTCTTCTGCTGCATATTGTCGATGACTGCTGGAGCCGTTGTGAATATGGGATGTTACTGATTTGGCGGCATTTAGCGGGCGCTTCGTTAGATACGCGAGCAGCATAATTTCGAATGTTTATGGCTCGTTTTCGTCCCATTACGCCCAGCTCCGCCCTTCAATGAACAACACGAATGTTTATTTCACGTGCGGTTTCTCAGTAGCTACCGCTGGCAACAACAGCGGTAAGGTAATTTGAAATGGTCAATTTATCCGCCAGCTAACAGAACACAACTACTAGACACTAAGCGAAAGAACAGATCCCGAATTTCCATTCAAAGCTTCGTTTGTGTCCGGTGTCAACCGATAACTCTTTATCATTTAGGCTAATTGGAGTATCTTATATATAGGTATCGGAGCGAAATAATGACTTCAGATTAGCACGATAACGATTTTTTAGCTAAAATATGTAGTGCGAGATCTTCGTTGTGACTGAAATCCTAAGAAGCTGTTATCTCATTTAGTACGGAAACACCTATGGAGCTAACGAATACTGGACCAAGCTTGAGTTGAGGAAGGTAATATCAGTCCTTGTCGCAGTAAATTCCTCATTTGGAACCAGTTTCGGTTGATATCGCTGGTCGAAGTAACGAACGATAAGCACAGCACGCACATAAAGCCGTCAACATAATATTTCGAAGATATCGGGTATTTCCGATACCGTTCTAGCAATTGTGCCTACTGATAGGGTTTAAGTCATGAAGCCAGCTGGTTCAGCATATCTCGATATTACTATAGGTACCTACCTATCTGGGCTTCACCGAAAGACTGAACTATTACTAAATAGCTTGCCCGCCCGACCCAACAGATGTATGTTTTTTTCTACGAGTAAATAAGTCGCGTAAACAGATTCCATCGTTCCGAAAAAAAAAATTAAACGTTATTACCGAATCGCAAGTGACATTTCGTCAGTTTCATTAGCGTTTGGTAGATTTTTAAATCTGCCAAACCTCATTTTAATGAGAGAAGAAAGCTCAAGTTTTACTACTCTCAGGTCTTCCGCTGCAAAGGGAAAGATATTAGCCTAATAAATAAAATTCACCAATATTTATTGTTCGTATTGAGTATTCTTATCCAGGTGATTCAAATAAAATGGGTGCGACCTTTAAAGTAAACAATACGAGTTAGAGCTAACAATGAATAACCGTTTCAATAGAAATAAATCACCACTACGAACCAGGTAAAACGACTGGAAGCTAGTTGGCAATCGGGCCAAATCTGAGGTAATTGTCACGGGGTTCAGCCATACGACTGCAAGTTTTTGTGTTGCCAACCTCGCTACAGATACCATTATAAGGACAGGCTGAGGGGTTCTTACTCCTTAGAAATCCTCATGGTGGTAACGTATGCCTCTGCTTTGATATAGTCATCTGGCTCGTTAAGAACACGAAATATCAAGTGCCAAGCCGAGAGTAATCGGTTCGTCCTTACTTGGCCTGAATAGACCAATGGATCAGCCTTGGTCCATTTTAAGACCATTTGTGAATCCGGTTTTTTTTTTGTGACAGTGCAGTGGAAACGTTTTTCTCTACGACGGAGAGGGTTGCTTTGATTTAAATCAGGACGTACACGCCTTTGGACACTTCAGTAGAGATGCGTGCAAATAGGAGAGGCGATAAATATCTCAACAGTAATATCTGCTCGTTTCCAGATGTTCCAATTGCAGTAGGCTCAAATCTTAATAGGAATACGCAAGCGCTGATGTTGAATTACGAGCTTTGGAGTGAGAAATACTAGTTTGACTATTTTGGGTGAAAAAATGGCATCGTACGGCATGTATGACACAGACATACTCTAAGTAAATTCCCAGAGTCCTGAGTCCAGAGTAAAGGGAGGACTTTCCCGCCACTCTTGTCGTTGTTGTCTCTTAGTCTGCCTTATCACCGTAAAATAGCCCCTTCACAGCACGTACCTGATGCAAGCGAAGATCAAATTTTATCCCATTGGCGTACTCTTAAGAGATCACTTATAAAAGTTCGATGGTTAACCTTAAATAAGGCTGAAAAGGTTTTGTTCGTTCGTAATATTAGTATTGAATCTCATCTCACGTAAATGTGCCCATGGTCATCAACAAGGATCATTGGAGAGCCGTCTGGGGACGATGCCTCCCAGAAAGGGATGTGACACTAAGTCATGCTTTTCAAACGTATCTCTCCATTTGTCCTTCACGGAAAGCGTAGATCGGAGTGGCCTGCCTCCGAGCAGAATTAATGAAGGACAATACCCTGAGGAGACAGTAGCCGTTTAAGATCACAGCACGTGCTTTGATGACGAAAGCTGTTCTATTAGGTCGTTTAGTATGAAACGTGACATAATGAACTCCTTTCACAAGCTTAGTTCTGTTATTTTCGATCGAAGTGCGCACCATTATTATTTATACCCATTTGCCATTTGAATGACAACTGATTTATTCCGCTGCTGTGCCAGTCTGGGGTACGAGAGTCTATGAAATAGCGAATGGCAAAATTAGCACCATATTGAGATTTAATAATCTTCTTATCAAGAAATTGCTGGCGTTCTGAGGTTAATAGTAATTTATTGGAACCATGTCTGTTTAGTATGGCGCATAGCAAAGAGCCCCCAATTTTAACTCCTGTTTTCTGGCCATTGTCTTTTCTATGTCTCGTTTAAGATCTTGAGGTTTCCTCAAAGCAACATTCATAACTCACACCGCTATACGCTAACCAAGTCTTTCGTTACAAGCGACATTATGAGAGGAAAACCATTATATCGTAATGAGTGATTTTAAAGATCTACGTAGGAACATTAATTTGAAAACATGGTAATTACTATAGCTAAAAATATCCCACGAAATATACATTCGCCATATCAATGAATATGGCTCTCAAGAAGTAAAAGTTTAATTTCTTGTAGCTAAAAGCCAAAGGCTCTCCCTCGTACGGAAGCCATGTTCCCCTGCGGTATCAGGAGCAGACAGTAGCCGGCTTCCGAATCTCGAAACGCTTTATGCGTGTCAGGAATGATACCAATAAAAGAATCTTGGGCTAAAATTCCCGGTCCATCCAGTGTCTCATCAATGTGTTCATATGTGGAATATAAGAGAGTCTTCAATAGACCCGAAATTGAAGTTAGTGCTAATTCTATCATGCTCTCTTACTGTTGTGAGGTTGTTCATAAAGGATTAACGATCGAAAAAAAAATAGTGGATTATGGCAGCCAGCCCGAAGAATGCCACTACAACTATGACGTGAGACAATTAGTCAATCGCTATCATATTCCCTGATAAAAAAGATTCCTGAGCTTCACTTCGGCGCTACATGAGACATGGCCTAAAAAGTTAGACAACTTTTTAGGCCATGTCTCCGTAATATGGTTGCTTATCTATTTCCCATATTACCCACACACCGTAACGTTTCATATTACTGAATAGACATATTTTTGTTATTTTATTTTCTCATAGCTTTTATCCAAGGTAACTGACATATCTACGTAGACATGCTAATGCCATTCAAAGGTTGAAAAGAGGTTTTCGTGCAGAGTCGCATTACGCCTTCATGTTACTGCTTCTGTGCACTGCGTTAGAAGACGCATAGATATCTAATGGTACTAGAGTTGCAAGGCCGTTTCATTGTAGAATGGTATTGTACAGATGATTAGGTAGGCTAATCTGGCCTGATAAATCTGTCGACGTAGGCAAACATTGTTTAGGATGTAGGTAAACAATCAAGCTCTATGGATTCGCTAAAAGATGACCAGATCAATATATCTGTTGGGGGGACAGTTGTAGCTCTGAGACAGATAAAATCTAAATTATTTATACTGTTTTACTGGAGGTGCTATGTACTGTTAATTATTGCCCGTACTTTCATAAGACCATTTTTACATGAAAAACTACGCGTAAATATATTATATCATAATACATCTAAAAATTTTACAACCTATAATAGAACCTGGATATGAAGCGAGGCATACATGCAAATCGATTGAAAAGGGTGCATTAATTCAGGCTTTCAAAATCAATGCATCTTTTCTTAAAATATGATAATTTTAACAACTGGATTAAAATCCCTTCAAAACGTATATGCTGCGAACATAGGAAGTTTTCTATATTTCTATTAGTAGGTTTCGCCATTTTTTTTTCAAAAACTAGTTTCTGGTTTGTTCTAGTTTAATCGATTTCGATTCAGTGCCTCCCGATGCTATCAACAACTTTAATTGTAGTTATATTTCTAAAATAACGAAGCTGGTGTTTTTCGGAGAAAAGTTCCCACACTCTGAGACCCCCCAATACGTCGTGTTCTAAAAGGGGGTGACAAAGGAGTAGGAGACGAACTTTACACCCATCTATAGAAGCAAAATATACTTTAAATGAAAGCATTTGCGTTAGTTATTTCTGGCAAAGGGTAACTAACGAAACTGGAAAAAATACACTCAAAAAATACATTGAGACACTCATACGCACGTTTGCATATCCTAAACATAATTTCCTGTTATAATAAACATACATATGCTCTAATTACGCTGCGGACAATTGTTATTACTTTGATTTCCTGTACGTTAGACAAAGCAGAGCGTTTACTCGATAGAATGATGCACTTTGCGAAATTGCTACATCATTTGTGTTGTGATTTACTCTGCCGTTACAGACATCTTTTGGAAATTAAGCATTACATTATACTTAATAAATAACATAACCCACAACCGACGTGAACGCGTCAACGATCATGTCATTTTAGCACCCCATTTGATCTCATCTCGTATTCCTGCCGTTCCCCATTCGGATCGACGTTTACGATCAGCCCAGCAGATTGACACTCGAGTGGCTACCAACCAACAGATGACGTCCCGATACAAGCTCCGACGTTGAACAGGATCTGGGTGTGAATTTTTTGCCATGTTGCAGGTCGTAGCTCAATCGGCGGCGCCTCGACATCGCAAAATTTCTCTCTCCCGGCATCTTGTATATGTTGAATGATACAGATTTTCTAGTAGGCCGCGAACGTAGCAGGTGTTTAGAGAAATAGAATTAGGGTCCTATCCTGTCAATGGTGCTAGCAACTTACAGATCAGAAGTCAAGGACGACGCCATAGCGCCATATCACATATCTGTTCTAATTAGAAAGTGCCGAAATGGTAATGACATAGATATCTACATCCAATCGTTGTATAAACCTTAATAGAATGGTTAGCGTGTGCTTCGTTAGCATAATGAGATGATCCGATTAGATTATGGGAAAAATCTTCATTATTAGGGTATAGCGGAGTGAGTATTTAGCGGACTTCGCAGTATCACGCATCAAGCAACACTTACGTGACCTATAGTG